ACTCCGACTTTATTAAATATTATGTTACCAGGCTAGTCTGATCTATGTTTTTAGTGCGAATAAAACTACATTATTCCACTTTCTGGCCCAATGTTTAATAAAGCTGGATTGCCCCTGAAGATGCTAAAAATGTTTTAGCGAAACGTTGGGCCAGAAAGTGGAATAATGTAGTTTTATTCGCACTAAAAACATAGATCAGACTAGCCTGGTAACATAATATTTAATAAATTACGAACTGATCGGACAATAAAACATATAATTAAATCTCGGAAGGCCTGCCGAATATTAGTTTATTTTTTTCTGTCACCAACTAAAATCCAAGCAGCAAGATGAAAGATTTTTATAAGCATATGAAGTACAAGCATGGTGAACATACATGTATCACCCTTAAACATTACAGCAAACAAAATCAGAAATTAGCAAAACAAAAAGAAGACCTAAAATTCTTACTGGAATGCAAGAGATATGGACTTATTCCTATCCATTTGACAAATTCGATCAAAAACGTAACCATCAACACCAGTTCTGATAGGATAAGACAACAGATGGAAAAGTCGAAACGAGCCTTTCTTATGAAAATATTAAATATAGAAATAACACAAACAAACATTAATATAAAATTAACTAAAGATCTCTTAAACCAAGCGCAACAACAACTAAAATGCAATTTAAATGAGTCAGAATTCAATACGTTCGTCAATAAACAAAGTTTTCTTGGTCAGAGGATCGCAGAAAAGAAGAGGTCGACTCTCAATTCAAAAACAGGTAAACTAAAGTATGAACAAGTGCAGAAACTGGGAATAAAAACGGATAACAACTGGTTCGTAAATAATACATCGATAAAATTTCCTGACGATGTAAAGTGGATACTCTCACTTGGGAGAAAATTCACCTTGCCAACAACGAAATCAAATTTCTCTCCATTACATATAATAGCTGAAATGGAACAACTAATACAATCACTGGAGAATGAAAGAGAAAAAGAAGTAGCCAGAAATAAAGTTAGTAACAGAATCCTACTATTTAAGCGCAATATTAAGCACAACGCAGCGGAGAAATTTATTTTAGCAGCCTTTTACAAAGCAAAGACGTTCGTCAGGCTACACAAAAACAATCTTATTATAACCGATGCCGACAAAGGCAACAAAACAGTAGCTATGTATAAAACAGAGTACCTAGACAAGATGAACAAATTAATAGACGACAAAAACACATACAAAGCAATAAGAAGTGACCCTACGAATGCTCTGCAAAGAAAAAACAACAAAATAGTGGACGAACTTTACAAAGGCAAACACATTAACTTTAGAGAAAAGCAACAGCTCACATGCACCGCAGCCACAGCGCCTAGACTTTATGGATTGCCTAAAATTCATAAGCTCGATGTTCCTCTTCGTCCTATTGTTTCCTCGTTTATGGTCCCCTGTTACCAGCTGTCCAAATACATCGGAGAGTTTTTGAAAATGTTAATTTCGGATAAATACAATGTTAAGAATTCCTTCAACCTAAAAGACAAGTTAGCCAATATACGTGTGTGTGATGAAGATATGTTAGTGTCGTTTGATGTCGTGTCCTTGTTCACTAATATACCAACAATGTTAGCCTCAAAAATAGTCATGAACAAATGGGACCAAGTTAAACAAAAAAACCAATATTCCGAAAAAGAAATTCCAAGAAATTTTAGAATTTTGCCTAAAAGACAACAACTATTTCATGTTCAACAAAAAACTATATTCACAAACGTTTGGAATGCCTATGGGCAATCCTATTTCCCCAACAATAGCGGACATAATTATGGACAACCTACTAGACAATACCATCTCGGAACTCAAGCAAAAATACAATATCGACATTAAATTTATAGCCAAATATGTGGATGACATCTTTGCTATAATTAAACGCAATGACGCGAATATCATTCTAGGAATTCTTAACAAGTATCACAATAAACTTCAATTTACGATGGAAATAGAGGAAAATTCAAAAATCCCTTTCCTTGACGTTTGTATACATAGAGAAAACCACAATCTTTTACTTGACTGGTATTCCAAACCAACTTCTTCTGGACGCCTGATTAATTATTACTCATCACAACCAACAAAATATAAGATAAATACAGCAAAAAACCTCATCCATAAAATATTGACAATAAGCCACACACGATTCCACGAAGCTAACAAAGAGAAAATCAACAAAATCCTAATAAACAACAATTACCCTGTAAACTTAATACGGGAATTAATAAATCAACAAGTTATGAAAACAAGCATCCATCCCAATAAAACACCGAACACAGACACAACAAAAACTACTAAGAAATTTTACAGTGTAACATACATTCCCAACTTAACTGGCAATTTTGGTCACAGCATAACGAAATCACAAAACACAGCACTTGCCTACAAATCTAATTACACTCTGTCGTCAATATACACAAAAACTAAGTGCTCAGTAGATATCCAACAACAAAACAATGTAGTGTATGAAATTAAATGTAAGGGAAATGAAATTGAGGAATGCGAAAAAGTGTATATTGGGACAACTAAGCGGCCTTTAGGTGTTAGACTAGGCGAACATGAAGCAGATATAAGAAAACAAAAAAGCAGTACAGCATTATCACAACACATCATAACAAGTGGACATACAGCTGATTTCGCAAACACAAAGATTATCGACAAAGAAAGAAGGGAGTCAACCCGATATACACTAGAAAGCCTTAGGATAATGCAAAGAAGGAAAAAGACAATGAACAGAAAAGAAGATACGGACAACATTGCGGCCGCTTACATTTCTTGTTTATGATTAGAAATAAAAATGTTTATTATTTTAGTATTGACAAAGCTACCACAAAAGATGGTACAGATGCGCTGTATTTAGGTGTTAATCAAAGTTCGTAAACATTGTGAGTTTTTTGTCCTCAAATTGTTGTTTATAATTTTTAATTCCATATATGTATATGTATGTTTGTATGCTATATTCAATAATTTTTAATTACAATGAGCCTTTGTATTTTTGGTTTGTGGCAGATTTAATAAAGCTGGATTGCCCCTGAAGATGCTAAAAAATGTTTTAGCGAAACGTTGGGCCAGAAAGTGGAATAATGTAGTTTTATTCGCACTAAAAACATAGATCAGACTAGCCTGGTAACATAATATTTAATAAATTACGAACTGATCGGACAATAAAACACTTTTTAATTATACTTGGTTTGAATGAAACACGTTCATCCAACCATTCTCTTTCATACTTCGAATGAGTTTATTTGCGAATAAATAAGAATGGTGAGAAAATACCTTTCCAATGATACCTCACTAAGTCTAAATCGAAATAGTTCTGTTCCAGTTATCCAAGTTTTTCTTATATAAAACTTTGAAAAATTTGAAAATATAGCATCAAAAATCTCATTATTACGGTTATGTTGATTTTTTTTTTGTGAAAATTTTTTAAGCTTGAACTGTTTTGTTACCGGGGAGGATTTTTTTTTTGTAATTCTTTAAGGAACTATTTTTATTTAAAAAACCTCCATTTTAACTTAGATTAAGTAAACTGAGTTTTAATTGAACAGCTGGCTGACATTTGATTGGCTGATCTTAGTTTAAACCAACCAGATCGGGCGTTTAAAATAAGTTTACTGGCCCTCATTGTAGTAGTTTTCAAATTGTATCATACCTTTAGGGAGTAATCTACTGACCTCTATACAAAGCTGAATTTAGAACTGAGTTAAGGCCTTTCAACGTAAAGGTAACGATACATATGTAGTTATAACAAAATGGGCTTAAATGTTGACTTTTATTTTTTTCGCTCAAAGATAATAATTATTATTGAGTTTTATTTTTTCACTTAAGAATAATGATTATTAAAAAAACTCAAAAGCTAATCCACCGCGATTTCTGACGTATTCTTTTCAGAGGTAGCCACATCCTAATAAAAAGAATGAGACCCAAAAGTTTCAGGCCAAAATTTCAGGTATTTGCGCCTGTATGTATAGAAATCGACACAAATTATTATCACCGAGCGAAAAAATAAAAATTATAAAATAAGTATTCTTTGTGATCGAGAATATATTCTTTAATTCTTTAAGTCTTTCTTTAAAATCATAAAACAATGATTATTTGCTGATTTAAATTATTTTACTCATAATGATCAGCGTCCCTGATATGGATATTGACGTAATTTTTTTGTGCACGACCGACATGTCCATATGTATACACATTAGGGTGGTCCTTAAATGTACGAAGTAAATTTTTACATAAGATCGCCTAAGCCTCCACCCCTACGTCAATGCTAGTAGAGGAATCTGTACTTTGCCCTGGGCGACACGACTTCACCGTCGCCAATCGGTACCAAAGTTTATATGTGATATCTGTGACAGTGGTATTACCGATTCGAGAGGGTGAGACCCAAAAAAAATTCTTCATTTGATTTTTAAGGACCCCCCTAATGTGCATACATATGCATTAGCGTGGGCCGAAAATCCACTTTTTTAGAAGTTTAGCATAAATGTGGTTCATCGTGCTCTAAAAACAATCTGTGTAAAAGATGACAATTTTTGCTCAATACCTTAAGACTGGTTTAAACTATGTAATATTTTGACGTCAAAATTTGGCGACATATTTTGACACAATTGTATTTCCTTTATCCATACCTTTACCGATGATATTATGGGCCAAAAACTGGCAGATGGCCGTTTTCGCAGCGCGTGTACACGACAAAAGACCTTACCTGATCCAAATCAATCGATAAACCGCTTTTTGATCCCATTTGACAATGTGTTTTAACTTATTTGATGACAAATGCCACTGAATTTGACATAGTGAAAACCAGCCTTTAGGCTCGCCCAAGTCCATCAAAGTTCAATGTGCTCAAAAAAAAAACTAATAAATACATTAGTTAATACATTTTGTTACTAAAATTGCAATTATCTCCCAAAATATTAGTTCTACATAATTTTGTATATGGAACTTTTTTTAGAGAATCGAAGTAAGCTAAGAATTTTTTTCAGCACGTGAACTTTGATGGATTAACGAGCCTAAGATATTGACAATCTTTCACACAGATTGTTTTATGGCATAATGAACCATAATTTTTCTATTACAAATCAAAATTCTAAAAAATCGGACTTTCGGCCCACGCCAATATTCATGGAAGGGTGTATTTACCTCAAAGCACGCAGGTTGATCTTTCACTGTATCACATATTGTTTGCAGAAGCACTTGCGTTTGCTGATCAGTAAAATAATATTTGCGTTCAGCCAGTTTGCTTTTGAGTTCTCGAAGTTGCTCCTTAGTTGCTAAAAAAGAAAATAATTATTTAAAATTTTATAAAACTACTAGCAGACCCGGCACATTCATCTGCTAAGATTATGGTTTGGTAGTCATCTGCCGCTTTAAATAACCTAACGAAAGTGTTATGTCCGTGAAGAAGTTCTTGGACGGTTAATCGCAAAATTAAACAAATTTGAAGAAGTTTTTCCTCTTCACTCCCTGACAGCAACAATGATCCGGTTCTAAAGTGAATCTGTCCCAGAAGCTGTATAGTATAGTTGCTGGTAATTTCAAGATGGATGCGTATCATTGTTAAAAAGCTTAAACGCATAATAAAATTGGAAAATTACATCCATTGGGCCAATAATAACACAGGAGAGCTCGATACACTCAATGGTGCAACAAGTCGATTTATTCTGACATTCAAGGCACCTTTTCTCACTTGGCGATTTTTAGTAATAACTCGACTCCAGCGCCACCCGGCAGCATTTTTGATGTGTATACATCTTTGGTTTCGGTAGAGGTAAAATTTACGAAGCTGTAACGCATATCCCAGCACAAAATTTCGAAGGGCTTATTCATATATTTCAGCATAAAATTTTTATTTTCATTAGAAGCACCATGTGTTTGCTTGCCAAGTGGTTGCATACATTTAGGCATACGCATAGTAAGAAGAAATGCGCTTCAATTGATTATTACTTCCGATTATTTAAACTCCGCAAATGCATACGGCTTTGTACCTATGTATGCACATAAATATGTATGGACTCATTTGTTGCAACTGGGCATGAATCACGTAACTTTGAAACGATAGTCGTTCAAACGATACTGACAAAATGATGTTGTCAAAACACTGATTTATGCATTTGTGTTCCGTTTACTTGTTAATAGTGCTGCTTGCTATGTTTGAGTTCCGGTCGCTTAACGAAAAATTTTGCATGTGAAAGCAACAACAAAGTTAGTTAGCACGGATAGACGATAGCGAGTTTGGTTGTACCTCATTGTATTCGTTCGTTTCGCCACTCGCTAACTGTTGGCGAATCGATGACGGCTACAGTTACTGTTACGTGAAGCAAAACTGGAATCGAGTTGACGATATCGCACAAACGATCAAACAATTTTGGATTTTTATGAAGCAAGACAATCTCGACACGATATCGTTCAGACGAATGTCGTCATACGTGATTCATGCCCTGGTTTTGATATTCGTAGATGGTTTTAGGCATAGGTTTAGTAGTCTATTTTGGTAAATTTAGGAATATATACAAATAGAAATGCTCAAACTATAAGCTCAAAAACAATAACTGATGCGGTGTTTCCAAGATATTTTAACGCCCTTGAGTCACAAGTATATTTTATCAATCATACCGATTATTTCATGTATTAAAATAATTAAAAATGAAAATGAATAAAAAAATTAAATCAGAAAAATGAATAAAATTAAGTGAAATTAATGTTTAATTTCTAACCTAACCTACATTTGTATGTATGTAACTGAATCGCTTAATAATAGCTTTACATATAAAAAGATTATCCTAATTTTCGAGCTTAACTCCCTAATCTGTTATTAGAAAAAGAGATTAGCCATGCAAAATTATAATTAAAAATATCACAGCTAGTAAGGAAAATAGGTTTGTAAAGGTATTTTTAATAAAATGTTCAGTTATAAATATATTTAAATGGCCTAATATGTGCTGCAAAAAAAAGTGACCACGGTGGCACAGAGAAGAAGTTTAACTTTTCCTCGAGTTATGTGAATAACAAGCACAACCAATTTGACAGCTACCGAGCTTTGATTGAGATTATATTTATATGTAAACGTACTTTTATGGTTTGCCGTTCGCATATGTATACACATCAAATTTCATGAGTACCTAGTACTCACGCCTTTTTTTTTTGCAATAGTATTGCTCTTACCGTTACCAATGCATATTAGCCAAATCGGATCATAAATAAGATTTTTAGTAAAAACTCAACTACAAAAAAAAAAGGCTTTCAAAATATATATTAGTATAGATAAGGTATTGTAATCGATGGGTAATAATTAGGGAAGACAAAAATATGCAAATGCATATTATGACACAAGATACATATTTTGGCGAAAAAGCATAAAAATGCATAAACATGATTATTTCGGTAATAAGTTACTTCATTTTCGTATAATTTCATCTGACAATACCTTTTCGAAGATAGCCAGGATTGCTGACAAGGTTTGTATAATTGTCAAAAAGAAAAGGCTGACAAACAATTATTTTCTAGTAAACAATTTTAATATACCTTCTCGTGAAAATTTTTCGACAGTCGTTTTCCAACAGTGAATTTTTGTGCTAAACCGCTTTTGGTGGTTGAAAAATTCAATGAAAATGTTTCGTTTTTAGCGAAAGCTATTTAAAAGTTTCCAAATATGCTGCGAACTGATCAGAGAGTTTTATTCTACATCTATGGTAACTTCTCAGTATCAACAATAAAAATATTTTGTGTGAAGCAACACTTCAATAAAATGTTGCGATAATCCTAAAAGTATTCGTTATACATATTTGGAGCATATATCAAACATATTTTTAATATTTTGGAGTAATTTTGATGATTATAAATTTATTAGTTTTTTTTTTCATATTTTTGTCTTCCCTAGTATTAATAATAAAAAATAAAAGATCTATCTTCACAGATCAGTGCCGTATCAGTTCAGTATCATTGCCAATCAGCATCGATCAGTGATACCAATTCACACACATCCGTAGTATGTCGTCCGATACTTTCAGTAAAATGAAGTTCAATGAAACCAAGATTACTTATTTTACTAATGTTGAATTGGGAATTATTGCCAAATTATATAATTCATATCAATGAAAACTTGCAATAAAATAGCTAGTCAGTGAAATACACAAACATATCTTTGCCGAGTTAACTACTCTGTAAAAAAATTTTGTTTAAATTTAATGGGTAGATTATCGATATCAATCGAATTCCAGTTGCGTTGCTAGTTGCCAAAAAGATATTACAGATGACAACTGGCAACTTTCAACTGACAACTGCAGTTGCTATAAAGTGTGTATTCAGGCGACTACATTTTAGTGGTTGCTGGGAATGTTTTTGGAGCGTATTTAGGAGCGAAAATTGAAAAGTGTGTGTATTTTACTTTTTAATAATTTGAACGATATTAACATTTGCAATGCAGTTTGCTTTTACAGAAATGGTGAAAATAACAAACCAATATCTTAAAATTTTAGTTCCCGTGGAGAACGCCCTTTTGGCGAAACAAAAGCGAACACTGATTGCAAATTGTTTCCTTTATCAACTGAAGCACATCTTTTAAAACTACCGACACACCCAGTTTTCCAAATTAAAGTCATTGCTGTGGCACTTCCTTCTGCGAAAAATCGAAGATGTGCGCAAGCTTTTATGAGCGGAGGTATTGACGTTGAACGATGTGGTTCATCTGTTTATTAATCAATTATACTACAGCTTCTTTTGGAAGTCCTCAATATGCTTTGAAAATTAAAACAAAACGATAACAAAAGAAAGCATTAACTTTTGCTTGCAGTACACGCGGTAGCTTTAGAGGATTGGAATTATCCTTTAAGTGTCGCCTGATTGCGGCCGCGGTCATGCATTTCTCTTCCTCCTAAACAAATATTTGTGATGAATTTAGCTTTATTGCTGTCTTTTCTTTAAAACTCTTTATTTTAATAATTTAATTTTACTCGCACAGCTTGTTTACAGCCGCTTGCTTGTTGTTGAACTGTCAAATTTCGATTATCGATAACTCTACAGCAACTGACGATAGTTGCCATTCGTAATACAAATTTTCTTTCCAGTTGCGTTGTCAGCTGGCAACCGAACCGTGGTTGTGTTGCTATCCGTAATCGACCCATAAGCTTATTAAGAGAGGTACTACGCATTGTGAATTCGGCCCTTAGGGCCGTAAATTTAACTATTTTAATGTATAGTTAAACCATTAAACTTAACTACAAAAATTTATATAGAATTTTCTTAGTGTTCACAATTACACAGTTTACACATAAAATGTTTAAAATTTGCTCTTAAAAAATTTTGTTTAAATTAACGCATATTAAGAGAGGTAACCAGTTTCCTCTTCTACTGTGTGCAAATTTACACACTGTGTTAACAAAATTAAACAGTTCCTGTTTACTTTTACATACCAAATTTGTCGCGTAGAGGAAAATTACATAAGAAATGTACACTCTAAAAAGTGCATGTAAAACTACTACTGAAAAGTGTTTATTTTTCAACCAGAATCTGTTCAAGTATACGCACAAGATGTTCAAGATTTGATTTTGAGCATGAGTTGTTTAAAATATACACATGAAATGTTTAAAATTACAAACATTTTGAAAGTAAAAATATATTTTTGTGCCAGGGGCGCACGCAGGAATATATTTTTGGTGGGAAAGGATTTATACTTCTAAATATATATCGTCAGAAAATACTGAAAATTCGCTCTTTAAAATACATTTATGCAAGTTTTATGTACAGTATGAAATAAATAAATAAACTTTTTAAAGTTTCATAAATTGCATTTTATTTACATAAAATTTACAAAGAACTCAGACATTTTCAACCGGCTTCAAAAAAGGGCAGGTTATCAATTCTTCGGAGTATTTTTACTTCTTTTATTTATTTCACCGCATAACTTTGCACCGCGTGAACCGATTCCAATAATTATTTTTTTTACCGGAAAGATGGTACCTTAAGGGTCGTCTCGTAATTTGGTTTAGATCCGATCATTAAATCGTGAAAAAATTAACGGTTAAAGATGCACTCAACTTTCAAAAGTAATACAAAAAAATTTTAATATAAATAAATTAAATAATTTCACGAAATTTTTACACTTTTTTATTAATTTTCGTCGATTTCTGGTTTCTCATTTTTTAATAATTCGAATAACGAAAATTTAACTGAAATTGTATTTTTATCACGTAGCTCATTTTGGTGGAACGAATTCGAAGTTAGCAAATTAAATCTTCGAATGCTTATTAAGTACATATTAGTGGTAAACTTTTATAGGCTGTAAACTGTAAAAAGCAACAGTAAGTGAGTATGCATTGCATATTTTTAGGACAATGTTTTCATTCGCAGTTAAACTTTAAAGAGCTCTCAAGAAAAAATGACAAATTCTTACAAAATGACGCACAAGAAATGGAAAAGAAAATTTTTTCTTTCAAAATTTCTTATATCATGATAAATTTAGCCCCAAAACCCACCCCTTGTGTGCGCTACGTGACAAATTTGATATGTAAAAGTAAACAGACATTGTTTAATTTTGCACACACTAGGAGAGGAAACTGGTTACCTCTCTTTATATGCGTAAATTTAAACGAACATTTTTTAGAGGAAATTTTAAACACTTTATGTGTAAACTGTGAAAATGTGAACAATAAATGTTTAAAACTCAAAAAACAAATTTGAAATTTGTTCTACGCCAGACATATGATGAGTAAAAGTAAGCAAGCAGTGTTTAAATTTGCATTCATTAAGAGAGGAAACTGGTTACCTATCTTAATATGCGCAAATTTAAACAAAAATTTTTTAGAGTGTACCTAATTTTTATTTTTATTTATTTAAAAACGTTTGCAATTTTAAACATTTCATGTTCAAAAATCCAGTCCTGATTTGGTTGAAAATAAACACTTTTCAGTAGTAGTTTTACATGTGTATACAAAAACTACGGAACGAACGCTGAAGCAGCACTGACGATAAAAAAAAAAAACGGCACTGTGCCGGATGTGTCCGAACATTTTATTTGTGACTGAGGCAATGATATTATATTTACGACACTGATGTGAGTAGATAGACTTTCATTGTAAAGATCACCTGTATAATTTAGTTGATTTATTGCTTCTTCTCGCGCCGCGAATATCATTCTCCGTTTGCGGGCCATTGCCCTTGCGCCTCTCGATTTTCTTGATAAATTTTTTTTAGGTTTAGGCATTTTTAAACACTTCGCACTATTATGTTATTTTAAAGACTTTTTTTTTATTTAGCCCGTGTGCGGGTACGTCTAAATTGCTACCTAAATAGAGAAAAATCCTAAATCACTGGAAAGTGTCGGTAATGCAGTGAATAGGGACAATTTAGATTTTTTCACAGCATACTTTTCAACCTAAACTGGAGTGTGAAATATAAATGGGCGCGCGATTAAGCGAACAATTATTTTTTAGAAGTTTTAAGTAATTTTTATATTTTCTATAGCACAAAAAAGAAAATATTCAGAAGAATGTCAGTATAATTATCTTTGATTTGGTAAAAGTTAAGAATAGAGCCCGATGAGCCAAAAAAAAGAAGTGGGAGCTCCCCCCTTATTCTTGACATTGATGGTATGAATTTTGTTTTGCTGCATATTAGGAGAGGTGGTGCAAGGGGGTGGTAAAAGTGGAATTTTCAATATTTTCAAAAACTTATTTTTCGAAAATTATTGAAGCGATTTTTGTGCACACGATAACTCGAGTAAAAATTAAGATATCTTAACGAAACTTGGTACGTGTACTTCTTTCGGGCGTAGGACGGATGGTATTGAAAATGGGCAAAATCGGACAATAACCACGCCTACCTCCCATATAACGGTAATTTTCAGAAATACGAAAACTGCGATATTTTAATAACTACTGAAGATTATTAACTCAAAATTGATATTTGCAATAATTTTTAGACGAAAGATAAGAATGTTATAAATTTTTGAAAAAATGGGCGTAGCCACGCCCACTTATGGTTACATGTGTATATCTTGGCAACCGCGGCACCGCTTTCTTCCAAACTTGGCACAGTTATTGGCCTTGGTACAGGATACCAAATGGCCGAAAATTTTTAAAATCGGACAACAACCACGCCCACATCTCATATAACGGTAATTTGGAGAAATACGAAATCTTCGATAAATCAGTAAATATTAAAGCCAATTTATTCAAAATTGATGCTTGCAACAATTCCTTACCAGGAAATACGCCTATGATAAAATTTTGAAAAATGGGAGTGGCACCGCCCACTTATGATCACAT